TCTCTGCTGTGACCAGGGAGTGCAGTGGAGGATGGCCCAAGTCCTTGGGCCCTGCACCCCATGGGAGACCAGGATAAGTACCTGGCTCCCGCCTTTGGATCAGCGCCGTGCGCCGGCCGCAGCACGCTGGCCGCAGCGGCCATTGGAGGGTGAACCAACGGCAAAGGAAGACCTTTCTCTCTGTCTCTCTCTCTCACTGTCCACTCTGCCTGTCAAAAAAAAAAAAAAAGCTGCTTATGTTCTGAACAGCACCATGCCAGGATCTGCTCATGTAGGCTGAACACACATTGTCCAGTACTGAGGATGAAATGGGAGACTGCTGACAAGTACAGCAGTGCAGCCGACATGGACCGGAACTGGCCCAGACAAGGGCGCTCACCCCGCATTGATGGAAGGAGGCAGTGCCATGAACTGGGCACCGAGCACTGGGTCCCGGAGCTGCCTAGACCGTGGAGGTGAGCTGGGCACCGAGCACTGGGTCCCGGGGCTGCCTGGACCACGGAGGTGAGCTGGGCACCGAGCACTGGGTCCCGGGGCTGCCTGGACCACGGAGGTGAGCTGGGCACCGAGCACTGGGTCCCGGGGCTGCCTGGACCACGGAGGTGAGCTGGGCACCGAGCACTGGGTCCCGGGGCTGCCTGGACCACGGAGGTGAGCTGGGCACCGAGCACTGGGTCCCGGGGCTGCCTGGACGTGGGAGCAGACAGAATTCTCTTCTCCATGTGACAGATGAGGAAACCAAGGCTTGAAGAACTGTGAGGTTAAGAGACCTTGAAGGCCGGCGCTGCGGCTCACTAGGCTAATCCTCCACCTTGCGGCGCCGGCACACCGGGTTCTAGTCCTGGTCGGGGCGCCAGATTCTGTCCCGGTTGCCCCTCTTCCAGGCCAGCTCTCTGCTGTGGCCCGGGAGTGCAGTGGAGGATGGCCCAAGTGCTTGGGCCCTGCACCCCATGGGAGACCAGGATAAGCACCTGGCTCCTGCCATCGGATCAGCGTGGTGCGCCGGCCATTGGAGGGTGGACCAACGGCAAAAGAAGACCTTTCTGTCTCTCTCTCTCACTGTCCACTCTGCCTGTCAAAAAAAAAAAAAAAAAAAGGGAGAGAGACCTTGATACCTTAATGACACGAGTAACAAGGGTAAGAGATGGGTGCACTGACTCCAGGTATTTAAAACTGATAGCGCACAGTCAAGCTGTGTTCGGCTTCCATGTGTGTGAAAGTGAACCAACACTTGAAACTCCGGAGAGATTTCCAGCTGCTCTTGGCTACACAGGGAAGCCTGACAACCCAGAGCCAATATGCCAATCAGGGGGTGGGGGGTGGGGACGTCTGCCCGCCTGGAAGGGCCGCAGGCTCACCAACCTGCCGGTCTCTGCCCAGCCCTTTTGCATCCTCCCAAACACACACACCGAGGTGGAATGGGGGCGGCCACATATGTGTATCATTATGCTTGCACCACTGCTTTGGTCAGGGTGTTGAACTACTCGTGTGTACCCTGGTCTCTGTGGAGAACGGCCAAGGTCGGGTGTGTGGCACAGCGGTTAAGATGTCTGCATTCGTGCTGGATCGCCTAGGAAGTCCTGGCTCTGCTTCTGATCCCAGCTTCCTGCTAAAGCGCACCCTCATAGGCAGCAGAGACTTGCTCAGTGCTTGGGTCCCTGCCACCACGTGGGAAACCCAGGTTGAGTTCTCTGGTCCTGGCTTTGGCCCGGCCCAGCCCCAGCTGCTGCTGGGGAGTCAACCAGCAGGTGAAAGATCTGTCTGCCTTTCAGACAAATACGAGGGGTTGGCACTATGGCACAGCAGGTTAAGCATCCCATCCTGGAGCGCCTGTTCGAGTCCTGGCTGCTGGGCTAATGCTCCTGGGAAAGCAGCGAGTGATAGCCTATGTCCTTGGGCCCCTGCACCCACGTGGGAGACCCAGATGGAGGTCCAGGCTCCTGGCCTGGCTCTGGCTGTTGCAGCCATCTGGGGAGTGAACTGGGGAGTGGATGCAAGATTCTCTCTCTCCCTCTCCTTGTATCCCTCTGTCTTTTTCAAACAATCAATAAAATATAATTAAAAAGAATGACCAGAGGGCTATGCCTGTTTGAAATCCTAGAAAAGAAATGGGGCGGAGTGGGGGGAGTGGCTGTGTGTGTGCAACCTCTCAGGAGACATTTCTGAAACACGCGGCCAAGTGACCCAGGAGTCACGGTGCGTTTCCTGCTGAGCTGCTGCTCTACTCACTGGCCAGTCCCTGACGTTCTGACAGTAACACGAAGGCTGACTGACTTGCTTCTAGAAGCAAATGTGGCACTCTGTAATGACAAGTAGAGAGCCAGCCTTGTGGGCAGCACGTTAAGCTGCCGCCCGTGATGCCAACATCCCATGTGAGTCCCTGCTGCTCCACTTCCCATCCAGCTCCCTGCTAATGCGCCTGGAGAAGCAGAGGGAGATGCCCAAGTGCTTGGGTCCCTGCCACCCATGCGGGAGACCCAGATGGAGTTCCAGGTTCCTGGCTTCAGCCTGGCCCAGCCCCCACTGTTGCTGCCATTTGGGGGAGTGACCCTGTGGATGGAAGATTGTTCTCTCTCTCTCTCTAACTCTGCCTTTCAAATAAATAAATCTTTTAATTAAAAAAAAAGTAAAAAATTTTCCTCTGTATCTTCTCATGGCTTGATATCTCGTGTCTTTTTAATGCCTAGCTCCACCACCAGTGGTTTGTTTTTTTTTTTTTTTTTTTTTTTTGACAGGCAGAGTGGACAGTGAGAGAGAGAGACAGAGAGAAAGGTCTTCCTTTGCCGTTGGTTCACCCTCCAGTGGCCGCCGTTGCCAGCGCACTGCGCTGATCCGATGGCAGGAGCCAGGTACTTCTCCTGGTCTCCCGTGGGGTACAGGGCCCAAGGACTTGGGCCATCCTCCACTGCCTTCCCAGGCCACAGCAGAGAGCTGGCCTGGAAGAGGGGCAAACGGGACAGAATCTGGTGCCCGGACCGGGACTAGAACCCGGTGTGCTGGCGCCGCTAGGTGGAGGATTAGCCTAGTGAGCCGCAGCGCCGGCCCCACCAGTGGTTTTATCTGTCCACCTGCTGCAGGCTATGCTGGTGGCTTCCGAGTGTGGCTGCTGTTGGCACCCAGGCGCAGGTGGGTAGACCCACGTCTTCAACACTGTAGGGACACCTGGTCAGGGTGCAGTTAGCTTGATCAGGAACCAGGCAAACGTCTCCCACAGTGACTCTCTGTTCTCCATTCCTCCCCGCAATGCAGAGAATCCACAGCAATTAGTGAAAAGAAGGCTAACTGGCGGCTGAGCGAGGAGGAAAGTGGAATCACAGGTGCTCAGCTGAAAGTGCAACGCCGGCAACACATTTTGTGTGTTGGGCATTCTGGAGTCCGGACCCACCCAGTGCAAATCCGTGCTCAGAGCCTGGGTCCCAGGGCTGCCGTCTCACTTCTGCAAGCCTGGACTGGGGAGACACGAATGCTGAATCTCGCGGTTTCTCAGAGAAGGCTGAACGGTGCCCTGCGCCTGGGACAAGCTCAGTAAGGGAAGGTCGCGGGTGGACGGAGCCATCTAAGAGGTCAAGGGGAGTGCATATCATCCTTTTTTGTACTTAGCAAATTAATTTTATTTGAAAAGCAGAAAGAAAAAGAGACGGAGGGAGAGAGAATATCTTCCATCTGCTAGTTCACTCCTCAAATGCCCACCAAGAGCCAGGGCTGAGCCGGGCTGAAGCCAGGAGCCTGGAATTCCATCCGGTCTCCCACGTTGATGGCAAGGACCCAACCACTGCAGCCACCTCTGCTACCTCTCGGGGTTGACATTAGTAGGATGCTGAAACCACAGCGGAGCTGGGACTCGAACCCTGGTACTCTGATATGGACGCAGGCGTCCCAAGACTCTGCCACACACTGCCCCCTGTATTATCTTAATTCCATTTGGCTGCACATTTTTTTGAAGAATCCTTGTGCTGTTCTCCGGGATTGGGGCAGTGAGCCTGGGAACCGGGCTCCGCAGATGCTGCGATTCGGGTAAGAGCAAACAAGGCCAAGGCCTTGAGTGTGTAAGCTGCTCTTCAGAAGAATTAAAACAAAAATAAACCCACAGTGCAGATGCAGAGCCCTCGCCCACCCCCACACCCCGTTCCGCCGGAGGCCAGCATTTGTTTCTGTCTTTGAACCCGCAGAGTCCTCCACCGTGCAAGGAGAGGAGGGTGTGTCAGGGCAAGGTGGGGGATTTCTGGGAGGTCAGGGCAGATCTCCCCACCACATTCTGGCTCTGCAGAAGCAAACATCAAAGGCAGCCCTAAAGGGAACATAAGGTCACACACTGAGCGGCCGGGAGGGAGCAGTGGACGCGGGCCTGGCAGGAGGTCCTGGCTTCTGGGCGGTCACGGCTGGAAGTCCAGGTCCCAGCAATCTGTACAGCCTGTGGTCTGGGCTGTTTTCTTACCTGTAAACTGAATTACAAAATCCACTCATCTCCCAAGTGCCCAGCCTACAGCAGACACTCAACCCATGTGTGTTACCTGTGCTGGACTAGGGACGGTGACCTGTGCTGTGGGCAAGGGTCCGGTGTCCTCCGATGACAAAGCTCTTAGAAACAGACTCCTGCAGGGACAGTGACTAAGAAACAGCTGTCGTGCTGGGGGCAGGGTCACTGGTAACCTTTACCGCGTAAATTATTGTTAGGTTTCCAAGAATAAGTAAGATGGAGGGAAGGGAGACACAGGGGATCTTAAGATCTTCAAAGGAGCCACATCTCACCGTCTTTCCCCCAGAACCCCGCCTTGCTTTGCCTGAGACAGCCACAAAGATCACTCACACAACAGCCGCCACCGCCACCGCCACCGCCACCGCGGCCGGACTGACAGAGCAGCGTCTGCCTGGGCCCCCGAGTTACTTCCTGTTCGCTGGCCTTTCGGCCGCTTCTCCTGATTTCTCAACACCTTTTTAGGACCCAACAAGGAAGGTCCTGTTCACGGTTGCCATCACTGTTCCTCTCTCACGAATGTTAACTTAAAATAGAATGTCTCTTCCCCTCTCTCTATAACTCTGCCTTTCACATATAGAAATCTTTTTTTTTTTTTTTTGAAAAAAGATTGTGTGATATTCCTTGGTGTGATTACAGCTCTGGGTTCAAAGCTGCACACGGATTCCCGCTCTTCACCAAGTCTACTGCCTTTTTTTACTGCTAGAGATTTTAACCATTCTGCGTGTGTTTGTTAGACAATGGTATTCCTGTCTTTGTACTCTGTCCATTGTCATTGTCTTACCTATTCCAATCTTAAGTGCCTTAAAAATATTACAGGTTCCTGTGTTTTCCCCATTGGCTTACGTGAACCTCATGCCACAGTCATTAAGTATCTCTTCCCTGTTAGTTCTTTTTGCATTTTACTTGGGATCCCGCCCACAGAGGTCCCTTTCCCACTCAGGGGGATCATTCTGACTACAAATGGCACTGGACGATTTTGCCTGTTCCTTCGAATTCTACATGGATGAGGTCATAGGTACCACTTCAGTGCGTCCAGCGCAGTGTATATAAGTTCACGCAGTCTGTTGCAGGTGGGTGTAGACTGTGCAACCCTCCGTTGTGTGAAGAGACCACAGTGCACCTGGTGTTTACCTACTGTTGGTGCACATGTGGCTGTCTTCCGGCTGTTGCTTTTCAAGAACAGCTTACATTGTTTAGATTATTTAGATGGCCCACTGGACACAGAAGGGACAGGCAGCTCTCGGTGCGGTGATGTAGCAGGCACCAGCTGAACCACGCGACCATGGTCGGCATCAGGAATGAGGGGACCCTCACAGGACCCGACACGGGGGGAGGACACACCACGCGGTCCTCTTCCCAAACACGTCTGCCTTGAGTCCAGGAGTGCGTAAGAATGAGACAAACTCATTTCGTGTCCTCAAACTGTAACGCGTGAAACCAGAAAAAGCCAAGCAATTCTTTCAGATGAAAGGAGATGGAAGACATGACACTTAATTGAACGCCGGACTTAAAGATGGCAATAAAAGACATAATTTGGGACAGTGAAGAAATCCAAACACGGACTGCGTGTCAGAAAAAACGAGTGTGGGCTGGCGCTGTGGCTGAGCCCCGCTGTGACGGTGCCATCCCAGCTCTGCTTCCCAGCCAGCTCCCTGCTAACACCCTGGGAAGACAGTGGAAGGTGGTCCCTGCCACATACACAGGGAACCCAGGCGGAGTTCCTGGTTCCCAGCTTTGCCTTAGCCCAGTCTGGCTCTTGTGGCCATTTGGAGAGCAAACCAGCAGATGAAATATTGCTGTCTCTCCCTCTCTCTCTGTAACTCTGCTTTTCAAATATATAAATCTTAAAAAAAAAAAAAGAGATTCTGGGGAGCCAGCGCTGTGGCACAATGGGTTAACGCTCTGGCCTGAAGCGCCAGCACCCCATATGGGCACTGGTTTGAGCCCTGGCTGCTCCACTTCCAATCCAGCTCTCTGGTATGGCCTGGGAAAGCAGCAGAAGATGGCTCAAGTCCTTGGGTTCCTGCACCTGTGTGGAAGACCCAGAAGCAGCTCCTGGCTCCTGGCTTCGGATCACTGCAGCTCCGTTGGTTGCGGCCATCTGGGGAGTGAACCAGCAGATGGAAGACCTCTCTCTCTCTCTCTACCTCTCTCTGTAACTCTGTCTTTCAAATAAATCTTAAAAAAGATTGTGTGATATTCCTTGGGTGTGATTATAGCATTATTGTTGTCAACAAATGTCTTTTAGTTGATACAAGGTGAGGCATTTAGGAATGAAATGTCCTGTCTGCAACTGACTTTCAAAGCTTCACCACACACACACACACACACACACACACACACACACACACACAGCGAGGTCAAAGCAAACAGCAGCTGTTGGTGGCTCTAGGTGAGCAATGTTGCAGGTGCTCACTCTGTTACCTCGCACCTTCTGTGCTGGCCTGCACAGCTCGTCCTGTGTAGCCCTCTGGAGCTGCTTTCCCCACTCGGCAGTGTGTCTCTGAGGGTCTCACGCCACTGCACCTGGCCGAAGCTTGTTCACTCCCTACGGCTGTATACTTCAGCGTCTTCGTGGTTTACCCATCGTGTTTTTCAAGGCTCATGCTCTATGTTTTTTTTTTGACAGGCAGAGTGGACAGTGAGAGAGAGAGACAGAGAGAAAGGTCTTCCTTCCGTTGGTTCACCCCCCAAATGGCCGCCACGGCCCTCGTGCTGCGCCAATCCGAAGCCAGGAGCCGGGTGCTTCCTCCTGGTCTCCCATGTGGGTGCAGGGTCCAAGCACCTGGGTCATCCTCCACTGCCTTCCTGGGCCACAGCAGAGAGCTGGACAGGAAGAGGAGCGACCGGGACAGAATCTGGCGCCCCGGCCGGGACTAGAACCCGGGGTGCCGGCGGTGGAGGATTAGCCTAGTGAGCCGCGGCGCCGGCCTCTATGTTGTTTTGTTCCTGCTCTCAGAAGCAGTGCTTCCAAGCGCTTTCCAAACCACCAAGCTCTTACAGCCTCGGATCCATCAGAAACGAGGTTGGGCATCTCGGGCAGTTCCGGGAGCTCCTTCCTGTGGGGAGTGGCGATCGAGCCCGGCCGTGAGCCGTCTCCTGGGGGTCCTTCCTCCGTGCCAGGCTGCTCGGATGCCACCATCCTCTGCTCTCAGACAAGGTCCTGCTCCTGGGGCTGAGATTGTAGTGCTTCCATCTTCTTTTAGTAGACTTAAAAATGGTACTAAAAAATACATCAATGTACATTCGAGTCTATTTACGTTGTATATTTTGGGGGGCTTGCCTTCCAAATACAAGGCTCAGGAAGGCAGGCACCACACTCAGTGTGCTCACCACGGTGGCCCCCTCACCAGACAGCAAGCCTGGCACACCGCTGGTGCTCCGGAAAGCCAGCAACTCCAAGACGGCAGGTACCGAACGGCTACGCGTCGGACAGCGGACGTGTGCATCTGAACGGTCACCGGGGTGTGCGACCCGGGCAGGAACCGCCTTGTGGTCACGAGACCCTCCTCTTCCGATACATTTCCCTGCACCGGCACTGGCCCCAGTTGCCACTGGAAACTACGAAACTGTCCCTGTGTAGTTTCCAATTCGTTTTGCTGCTAGGAGCAGTGCCGGCGTTTAGTTTTCCCTTCAGGATTTGAATGCCTTACAAACTCCAAGTGGAACCACAAGGTTAGAGGATACGAAGCCTTGTGGATGTGCGAGAGAATGAATTCCGACAAGTGATTTCCTCGCAGTCCCGTCACGACTAGGCTTTCTGTTTGCACTCGTTTACTCAGGCATGTCCAGAAAGTGCACTCTGCGTTACAGGGATCTCTGCACTTCCCGCGTGATGACCTGTCACCGGACCTGCCTCACGCGTGCTCAGCTGTGAACACACTGTCTGGCATCCCGTTGTCCCAGGAACATGAAGCAGACTCCCTTCTCCCAGGGCCCTGTTTCTGGTGCGTCTCACAGGACATTCTTAGAACACTTTACCTCTGCCTGTGCGATGCACCCGAGGCCAATGGGGCCTTTTCTGTTTAAGTTGCTGTCATCGGCCTTCATGACTGGGACATCATCTAAAACTCCCTGCACTGTCCTTCCGTACTCATCTGCCTTCTATTTTTTCTTCCCTTTTTATGTATTTATTTGAAAGGCGGAGTTACAGAGCTGCGAAGGCAAAGAGAAAGAGAGAGAAAGAGAAACAGAGAGAGAGAGAGAGAGCGAGCATAGTCTTCCATCCGCTGATTCGCTCTCCAAATGGCCACAATGGCCAGAGCTGAGCTGATCCGAAGCCAGGAGCCAGGCGCTTCCTCCAGGTCTCCCCCGTGGTTACAAGGACCCAAGCACTTGGGCCATCTTCTACTGCTTTCCCAGGCCATAGCAGAGAGCTGGATCGGAAGTGGAGCCGGGACTTTAACAGGCGCCCATATGGCAGTGGCTTTCCCCGATATGCCACAGCACCAGCCCCTATTTTTTTTCTTTTCAGTCAATACTTGCCGAATGCCACAGTGTCCACAATCCCATGTTGCAACCTGTGCAGGGACAAAATGGCCTGCCTGGGAGGTGCTTCTAGGCTGGGGGAGAGGAAGTGCACCCCCCCGGGGTGGGTGGCAGTGATCAATCGCCAGTGTGGGGCTCTGGAGAGAAAGGCTCCTTTCAGCTGAGGGCAGCTCAGGCAGGTAAGGCCGCGGGCATGAGCCAGGTGAGGCCGCGGTGCGAGCAGGTGCTGAGACGCGTGGCCAAGGGAGCCTGGCGGCAGGGCGAGCAGCAGCCCGGGGATCTGTGAGGGGCTCACGGGAAGGAGCGCAGTGTGACTTGTGCAAGGACTTGCAGAGAACGGGAGGCCTCGAAGTCTACACTGCAAATGTCCAGAACTCACTGAAGCTGTCCTGCAGGATCCCGAATCTGACAGGCACGCCGGCTCTGGCCGAGGCCAGGGACGAAGAGGGCATCCCAGGGGCCAAGGCAGGAGCCCCGGGGCCACGAGCGCGTCCCTCGGCAAGCAGCCCGCTCAGCTGGGAACGCAGCCGCTCCTTGCGGCACAGTGCGGAACGCCGTTGAGAGGGGCAGCTCTGCAGTTGGCGGGGACGGACTCCAGGAACAGCAGAAATAGAAACTCCTTTGCCAAATGGCTGAAAATAAATTAGCTATTTGGGTAACGGAAGTGTTGGGTGTGCGTGCAGACGGGAGACGAGCCCAGGGCCCACCGACGGCGCGGCTGCGTGGCTGTGGGCAGGAGGCGCTCGGGCTCTGAACACTGACTTCTGTGCGGCCCGAGCGTTTCCCACGGAGCATGGGTGGCACCCAGGCCTCAAAGCGAGGCCCCGGGACAGTCGCCGCGCTCAGCAATGGCAGCCCCGCTCCCTCGGCCCTGAGACCCCAGGCGAAGGGCGTCTGGGTGCTGGAGGAGTGGCCGGCATGCCCGAGCGCCCCGCGGGGCCTCCGATGCTCGGGTGAGCACTGCCACGTGCAGAGTCCCAGCAAGTCCCAGCTGCACCCGAGTGAAGGCGAAATGGGGGGGTTTACCGACAGAGAGGGCAAGCAAGGGTCAAGGGAGTGGGGCGCTTGAGGATGGAGTTTTCCCTTCAGGATGTAAGTTTGCTTCTATAAGAAGCGTGATTACTTTGAGCCTTGTAGGCGTCTCCAAGAAGTGATGGGTTTCCACCTGCTTCCGTTGAAAACGGGGCAGTCTAGCTAGGACTCTGAGGGCTGTATTTACGGTCTCTGGGCCCCTGACATTCAAGCTGTCTCAATAATGAAGACGGAAATGGTTGCCCACTGTTTGCCCCGGGGTGCACCAGGCACGCAGCCCTGGTTCTCACAGCACCCCTACATGGGTGCTCCTATCCAGGAAGACACCTGAGCCTCTGCCTGAGGCCACACAGGCTGTGAGCGACATGAGTCCTGGTCCAAGGGTCCTGTCCCCTCTCCAGAGGCCAGAGAGGAGGAACATTCGGGGCCACACCCGCGCTCCCGCCCCGCAGTCAGGGCAGGGGCCGCACCCCGGCTCCTTCCGAACACAGACTGCCAGTGAAGCCTGGACTGAGCTGCACCCTTTCCCGGGGACACCGAGCCCACCAAGTGTCCTCTTCACAAAAGCCCCAGCGGCTCTGAGACCACCACATCTTGTTCACCACGGCCCCGGGGGGGGGGGGCGAGCCCACGATGTCTGTTCACCAGGGCCCTGGGCTCTGAGCCACCACTTCCTGTTCACCACTGCCCCAGGGCACCGAGCCCACCACTTCCTGTTCACCACAGCCCTGGGGGCCGAGCCCACCATGTCCTCTTCACCACGGCCCCAGGGCACCGAGCCCACCACTTCCTGTTCACCACAGCCCTGGGGGCCGAGCCCACCAAGTCCTCTTCACCACGGCCCCAGGGCACCGAGCCCACCACTTCCTGTTCACCACAGCCCTGGGGGCCGAGCCCACCATGTCCTCTTCACCAAGGCTCCAGGGCACCGAGCCCACCACTTCCTGTTCACCACAGCCCTGGGGGTCCTGAGCCCACCAAGTCCTCTTCACCACGGCCCCAGGGCACCGAGCCCACCACTTCCTGTTCACCACAGCCCTGGGGGCCGAGCCCACCATGTCCTCTTCACCACGGCCCCAGGGCACCGAGCCCACCACTTCCTGTTCACCACAGCCCTGGGGGCCGAGCCCACCATGTCCTCTTCACCACGGCCCCAGGGCACCGAGCCCACCACTTCCTGTTCACCACAGCCCTGGGGGCCGAGCCCACCATGTCCTCTTCACCAAGGCTCCAGGGCACCGAGCCCACCACTTCCTGTTCACCACAGCCCTGGGGGTCCTGAGCCCACCAAGTCCTCTTCACCACGGCCCCAGGGCACCGAGCCCACCACATCCTGTTCATCACAGCCCCAGGGCACCGAGCCCACCACGTCCTCTTCACCACGGCTCCAGGGACCCCGAGCCACCACGTCCTGTTCACCACGGCCCAGAGGCCCTGAGCCCACCACGTCCTCTTCACCACAGCCCAGGGACCCCAAGCCCCCCACATCCTCTTCACCATGGCTCCGGGGGGGGGCTCGAGCCACCACGTCCTGTTCACCACGGCCCCGGGGGCCTGGCGGTGGCGGCTGACGCTCCACAGTTGCCCTCCAGCAACACCTGAGCAGCGGGCAGGGGCAGGGCGGAGGTGAGCACGGGGCTTGGGTCCAGCCTAGCGGCTGGGAGGGGTGTGCGTCGTGCGCATTCCCGAGCCACAGCGCAGCCTCCGCCGGCCTGCGGCTTCCCCACACAGGGCCGAGCTGAGGAGTAATAGCATTTGCAGTGCCCAGGGTGAGAGCCAAGAGCTGCGTCACCACCCCAACGGTCCACCCCACCCGGATTTATAGGACCCCGTCATGGGAAAGCGGCCCCTCCCCCGTCCTGAAGGCAGACTTCCGGTCTGTCTGCAAGACCCAGGCCGGACGGGCCCAGGGACCCCCGCTGGAGAAGGCGCGGAGCGAGGTGGGCGGTGGAGAGGCACAGGCCACGGTCACCCCGGCTCTCAGCACTGCACAGGCCCAGGAAACCCCACTAAGCGACCAATGAAGGCAGCAGCACGCGAATCTGACCCCGGGAAGCAGGGGTGCCGGCCTGGGCACCTCTGCTCACTCAGCGCTGCCGGCCTGGGCACCTCTGCTCACTCAGCGCTGGCTCACCCACGCCTCCCTGCGGGGGGTGGGGGGCACCTCACAGCCAAGGACCTGATGGGGCTCAGGCCCTGCCTGCTGAACCCACTGGGACGTGGGAGAGCCAAGTGCCCAGACAGCCGTCATTGACCGGGACGGGGACACATAGCTGGGTGCGCTCCACCCTTGTGCTCAGGGTCCTCTCCGGGGGACACGGGAGAGGTCGGAGAAGGCCTGGCATTCTGGGGGACCCCACACTGCAGCGTCTTCCTCTCCCCCTGTAGTGCTTCCTTGGTGCCTGAGGGGTCTGCTCTGTCCCTCACCTGGGTGTACTGTCACTTCACCACTCGCTGGCATCTCCCACTGGTGACTCCCGTGTGCCCAGCATGGGGCACACACAGGGCGTGGCGTATGGCAGCGCTGCCTGTGGAGCTGGGCACAGCGCCCAGCACATCATTGGCCGTGTCATCGCTGTCAGCGCCTCACGCCCCCAGAGGGCATCACGGGGCTCCTTTCAAAGGCTTAAATTAGGGGGAATTTAAAGGAACAGTCTCCAGAAGGCTTCTGCCCGTGACACCAGACCACGCGGGCATCCGGAAGTCTCCCCCTCAGGCCTGGCAGCTCTGGAGTGCTCATGGGGTGCAGCAAGGAAGCAGGTTTGGGGAGCAGGCAGGAGTAAGATGGTCCCCGCGTCCGTGACCTGCCAGGAGTTGGGCCGGGGGCGCACGTGATGTGACTGGCAGTCTGGCCGCGGTAGCAGCAGCAGCTTCTACAGCCTCCCTCCCTGTCCAGGAAGATTTCCCAAAGCCTCCTCACTCCGTACCCCTGGGGCTCCCAGCAACCCCATTCATCTGCTCAAACTCCCCCCCCGGGGGGGGGGACTCTCCACCGCCCCAGCCAGCCCGCAAGCCACCTCCTTGTTTTGGCCTCCCGGGCACCTGGCCAGTTTCCTTGTCCACTCAGCCTCCTCCCGACCAGGGCCCAGCAAACTCCCAGATCATCCCCGGCAGAGCCCTCGCTGCTGCTGCCTCCCTGGGCCTGCAGGCTCCCTGCCTCCACCACACCAGCCCTTCAGTTATGGGCTGTCCAACCACACAGAAATGACCAAACTCCACCTTCGCCTGCCTTTCCTCACCTGCAAAATGGGCCCAACAGTACCCATCTCGTTGCGTTGTTGGCAGAGTTAAGCGTAAAACGGCACACACAGCTCTTCCCGGCTCTGGGCCATGGCAGGCACCCCATCTCCCCTCCCCGTCCAGGGGTTGCGTTTCACCCCCTTGAGGACGTGGCTTTCACTCTTCTCTATCCTCCCCGCCCCTCCAAGTACTGGGCTCAGCGCCGGGCTGAGTGTTCCAAACACGCAGCAGCACAGCGGTGAACAAGGACACCTCCAGTGACCATCTTCGGGGCGTGCACAGCGGAGGCACAGGGAGATGGATCAGCCACCACACAGCAAGAGGGTGCTGCCCACCTCGCTACAGCGCCCCTGCCTCTCAGCCCACAGGGCTCCCCTGCCGGGGGCCAGGAAGCTGCCACATACCATGCCGTCCCCTCTCCCCGGGGTAAGTTCGCCCCAGCAGCACCAGATCCTGCTTCCAACATGTGTTTCTGGGGCCCGCTGGTGAATTCATCCCAGTGCCACCTTATGCATCAGTACAAGGTATGGGAGCTCTTCCAGTGGGGAACTTGGCCAGAGGAGGCCCGGAAGGTGGCAGGGGGAGCAGACTGGCAGAGGGGGCAGCTGTGTGCTGGGAGATGCCAGGGGCATTGTGCTACAACTCGGTCCTCCTCTTGCTCAAGTGCTGCTGTGGAGAACAGCCCGTTGCCCCACAGTCTCCTGGCCCAGACCTAAGCTTGCTCAGAGGGTGATCAAGGCAGTGCCTCCTCCTCCAGGGTGGGGAGGGCCAGGTGCAGAGGCCTGGGGCCTCTCCAGGCTTCCACTCCCTCATCAAGAGGGCGGAAGGGGAAGAGGCGAGGCAGCGTTTTGGCCATGACTCTCTTCCAGGGCCTGACTCTCCAATGTGCTGAGCCCCCTGCAGGGGCCACGCTCCCCACCCCTCGCACCCTGCCAGACTCCAGCTTCCCCAGGCAGATGTGCAGTGGTGCAGTGGGCAAGAGACAGCCCCCGGCCTGTCCTGCAGTGGTGAGGGGGCTCTGCAGGGCTTCTGTTTGTCCAACACTCAGTTCCAGCAGGTCGGAATTCAGGAGGGCAGGAGGGGCTCAAAGTGCACAGAATGTGGACCCGGAGCCCCCACCGCTCCCCTCAGGCAGATGCCTGACCACCCTGGAGGCCCCAGTCCCTCCAGGGGGCTGTCTGGTCCTCGCACAAAACAGCAAGCACTGCCCACTGTCCCCTTTCGCGCAATCCATCCCCAAAGCCCACACAAAGCAGGACAAGCTGGGCGCAGCGCTGGCGCTGGGGTGATGCCCTCCTTGCACACGGCAGCTTTTGCTCTCGATGTCCCCACCCCCAGGGACTCTGCTTCTTGGGGAGGGGGCCTGGGATCCCCCCCTCCGCTGTCACCCTTTGAGAAAGCAACACCAGGTACAGTTTCAGGGTCGGCTGGCTGGATTTCTGCATCTTCAGCTGCTCTTTGCCCTTCAAGATCTGTCCACCCTGGAGGGCGCCAGCGGGGCCAGAGCTGCCCACAAAAAACTGCCCCCCCAAAACTCCCCGCTTACGCGGTGCGGACGCCGCGTGCCACAAGCTGTCCCTGAAGACCCAGTGTGGAAAAGAAAATATAAACACCATCGAGAAGCCGGGAAGGGAAAGTGAACCTTCGAACGGACAGAACGAACGCGGTAATAACGCATCCGTCCTGGCGGCGCACGGTGGGGCGGCCATAGACTCACGCTGAGCCCCCGATTTCCCTGGACGCGCCCCGCGGGTGCCCGCCGAGGGCAGGGTTGGCGCCGGGTGGTCCTTGAGGGCCGGGCGGGGGTCCTCCGAGCGCGCGCTTCCTCCGAGGCCGCGCGCGTCCCGGCTCCCCTCCCCCGCCGCCCGCCACCCGCCACATCTGTTTCCACTCAGGTCCTCCCCCTCCAGGCGCGCGCCTCCCCCTCCCCCGCTCGCGGAGGAGCGAAGACGATTTTTTAAAAACCCGGTCACACACACGCACACGCACACGCACACGCACACCGCTGCTAGGGAGGAGGGGAAGGAGGGAAAAGTGGAAAGGCCCGCGCGCGCTGCCCCGCCCGGCCCCGAAGTTGGCCAAGTTGGCAGCGTCTTACCCGGGGGGACGGCGGCGGCGGCCCCGGGGCGGCCGAGGTGCAGGCCCCCGAGGAGAAGGACGCAGCGCAGCAGGTGACGAGGCCAGGGTGTGGGGGCCGGCCGGCCAGGCCCCATCGCCGCGGCGCGGCACTCAGCGGGCGCGGGGGCCAAGGGCGCAGGGGTGCGGCGCGCGGGAGCAGCCCCGGTGCTAGCTGTGATGACCGCCCGCGAGGGGCTCGCGTCCTCCTCTGGGTCGGGACGAAGTGATGCCTCCAGGGGAGGAGGGGGAGGGAGGAGGCAGGCCGGGCGGAGGGAGGGCGGAGGGAGGAGCGCCGAACCCGGGAGGAGGGTTTGAGGGGCAGAGGGGAAGGGAAGCGGGCAGCGTGGGAGGGGAAGGGGAGGAGGCGCGGGCGGCCTGGGGCTGGGGCCCGGGCTGGAGGGGGAGAAGGGGATGGCGGGAGAGGAGGACCCCCGCGCACGCCCTTGCTCTCCCCGCCTCGCCTTCCCTCTCTGCTCTGAACCGTCCTGGAGCCCCAGACGCTGCGTCACAACTCCCCGGCTGGCGCGGGCGGGGAAGCAACTGCAAAACTTTCCGCAGACTTCACCGCGTGGCGGGACCTGGGCTGCGAGGCCCGGAGGCCGGGGGCGGGGACAGGGGCAAGCGGCTGACCCAGGCGGTCAGACCCGAGCCGCCAGCACTCCCTCCTCCCCCATCTCTCTTCCCTCTGCCAGCGTTTCTGGCCTCCACGCATCCACTACTTCTACTAGGAGGACCCCTCCCCCGATCTGGTAGGGAAGGGGCGGAGCCCAAGGCTTGGCCACCCGGGCGAAGATGGGGGGAGGGGGAGGCAGGGCTCAGGGTGCGGAGCGCAAACAAATCCTGCACGTCTTGTTTTAGCATTTGTGTGACCCCTGTGTCAGTGTCCCTGGCACGACAGTGGTGTAGCACTTTGGCTAGCTGGGGCCGCATCCAGAAACCTGGGGAAGATCTGTCCACGGGAAGTCCCGGAAGACCAACATCACTCCCACCAACTGGCCTGCTGGCCAGCAGCACAGGACCAAATGGAAATTTCATAAAAGGGAAGACAATCCAGTTATTCAGTATTATGCAACAGGTCAAGGCGGCGCAGAGCACTGGACTGGGAGTCAGGATGCTGGAGTCAGCCCCACCTCCACCTCAGATTGCCTGAGCAATTTCTGAAAAGCAGTTCTGGGCTCCGAGCAGGACTGAGGCACAGAGTCCTGCACCACAAGGAATCAAGTCAGATACTGAGACTGATACAAAGTTTATTGTTTCCTGTGCAGTCCAGATAGGTACATTTTGGGGAACCAAGTTCCAATGTCTTCCTCCCTACTCCGCCTTGGGTGCCTTGAGTGCATCGTTGTCCGTCTCCGCAGAGGGCGTAGGGGCACAGATGCTCACTCAGCTCTCCCATCTCTGCCAGGCTGAGTCACTGCAATGACCAGGCCCAGGGCTACACCCACTGAAACCCCAAGGGTCCTCCAAAAGGCTGCCCCTCACCACACCCTCGCCCCGAACCCTGGGGAACAGCCAGGCCAACAAAGGCCTGAGGGTCCGGCTCCTCCCGCTGGCTGTAGTCTCATGGCCCCTTCTTGGAGTTCTGCACGGTGGCCTCCCCTCTCCGAATTCTGTTATCGCCAAGGGACCTGGGGCCTCGCCAGCTCCAGCCGAGCTGCTCTGGGTACTCCTTTCTGGGATGGGCTGGAACCCACTTCCCCTGGCTGGACACTGCCAGCGCACGGTAGGGATCCTGGGTCTGCTGCGAGCACACACAGAACGTGAGCTGTTGTTCCTTCACCCACACACTGGGCAAGCACTGACCGCCACCCCGTGCCCGCTGCTGCGGACGCAGAGGTGAGGGAGCACAGCAGCAGCCCAGCACAGTCTGGTTTGGTGGGGAGGAGGCACTTTTTTTTTTGGGGGGGGGGCACTATATTCCAGGCAGGAGACTGGTTAAGGTCTGAGGAGCCAGCTGGGACAGGCGTTTGTTCGTACTTGGAGACTCTGCCATAGTCCCTGCCCAGGGTGAGACTTCCTGCTCCAACACGCCAAGCTTCCCGATTGCATTCTGCAGGTTGTCTGGGCCCTGTCCCCGGCCACCATCTGGCTTAGATCTTGAGCTTGCAGGGCACGAGTAGGGCCCAGGCTGGGCAACTGTCCCATGCAGAGTGCAGCCCAGTCCTCCAGGGCCTGACGGCCCTGCTCAGGCCCAGCTGCCTGCAGAATGCGGTCAGAGTCTGCAGGAGGGCCGGGGGCTGAGGACTGGGCTTTCCAGGAACCCAGCACTTCCCAGGAAGGCCCAGCAGCCCTGCGGCCCTGCCTCCCTACTACTCCTGAAGCTCAGTCCAGCACCTTCTCAGGAGGAGCTACTATGTGTCAGCGACAAGGCTGCAGGCTGGGGACTTCATGAGGTCTCTGCCCTGGCCCAAGGGATTTTTGCCAACAGGGTTTTTGCTACAGTGAAATCAATGCTGAGAAATGGCTCTCCTTCAGACATCAAAACCCATTTAATAAGCCGGTGCCGCGGCTCACTAGGCTAATCCTCCGCCTGCAGCGCCGGCACCCCGGGTTCTAGTCCCGGTTGGGGTGCCGGATTCTGTCCCGGTTGCTCCTCTTCCAGGCCAGCTCTCTGCTGTGGCCCAGGAGTGCAGTGGAGGATGGCCCAAGTGTTTGGGCCCTGCACCCGCATGGGAGACCAGGAGGAGGCACCTGGCTCCTGGCTTCGGATCAGCACATCGCAATGGCCGCAACGTGCCGGCCGTAGCGGCCACTTTGGGGGTGAACCAATGGAAAAAGGAAGACCTTTCTCTCTGTCTGTCTCTGTCTAACTCTATCAAAAAACAAACTTCCTTTCTCTCTCTCTAACTCTATCAAAAAACAAACAAACAAAAAAAAAAAACCAACCCATTTAGTGAAAAGAACACAAGCTTGCAGTGAGAGAGGCCTGAGTTAGAATCCTGGTTTCCTCAGTAACCAGCTTTATGGCCTTCAGCAGATTACTTGCACTCTCCCTAAGCTTACAATACTACTTAAAATTTATCTGAAAGGCAGGGCTAGCTAGCTAGCTAACTAGCTACATAGGTAGAGAGTGATACCAATCTCCCATCTGCTGGGTTATTCCCCAAATACCTGGACTGGGCCAGGCCAAAGCCAGGAGCCTGGAACCAGATCCCCAGGGACCCACGCACTTGAGCTGCCACCTGCTGCCTCGAGTGCACATCTGCAGGAAGCTGGAATGGAGAGCAGAGGTGGGACTTGAACCCAGACACTCTGATGTGGGATGTGAGTGTCCCGGGGTGTCTCAACTCCTGCACCAAATGCCTGTCCCTCACAATTCTTATTTGCAACTGGGGCAACAATTCCCCCTTGTCCTGAAAATTAAACGCAACTGCAAAGCGCTGGGGCAGTCCTTGATCAGCAGTTGTTCAGGGGATGGAGTTCCCTCCGTGGCCACCAAGACCATCAAGATGTCTCCCTTATCCCTGACCCTGCGCCATGCCTGCCTCTCCCTCCACGCCCCCCACCAACTGCCTGTGAGATCAGCACGGGTCCATCTCATCAGGATCGCAACACTGGTGTTTCGAGTTGCCGGAGCGAACACAACTTCCCCTCATTGTCTGAACAACTCTAAGTGTTCTCTCTGTACAACCTGAAAAGAAAACTAATCCAGGTAGAAACATCTTGATGCTCACTTTGGCTAAGAATCGCAGATCCAACAGCTGCCCGGCACGGGGCTGTGGGATGGTTCTGGCCTGGGGTTCCAAGGTGAGCGGAGTTGGACTGCCATTCCTTAGCCACAGTTCCCTTGTCGGAGTCTCAGGTCCTGCGAGCTACGAGTTGTGGGGTCCTTATTCACGGAGCTCAGCGTTCCTCTCGCACTGGCTGCTTCTTCCCTGGCTCTGGGGCCCAGCAGCCTCTCAGCCAGGCGGCGCCCAGGGGAGCAGAGCAGCCCCAGCAGGCCAGACCTATAACACAAGCTCAGTGAAGGGGAACACAGACGGGAGGCTGGGCGGCAGCAGGCGCCGAGTCCCGGGCGCATTCAGGATGCCGTCTCCCCCACTCAGGGAGGACGGGCAGGGCGGCTTCTCTGGTCCCAGCACTTGAACCTCCGAAGCCAGCACAGGCCAGGTCCTTGCCAGCAGCTTCCTGCGGCGCCCACTGAGCCTGGCCGAGAGGGCACGTGGAGGGCCTTTGCGGATGCAGAACTGCTACTCCATTCTTGGTACCTTAGGCTCCCAGCCCCGCCCCAACAGGCTGGCCAGACCCTCTACAGCCCCCAGCAAGGGGCGGATAGGGGAGACACTGATGTTTGCCAGCTGTTTCTTGAGTGTTGACCGGTGTTTTAAAACTGAGGGAAACCAGTAACCGCCACAGTGCCCATGGCAAGCCGGGTTCCCAGGTTAAGTGGGGCTGCTGCCAGGCTCCCGCCTCTCCACCCCCCACCCCCTCCTCAGCTCTCACGGGCAGTCTCTCTCGTGCAGCCCCCCCCCTTCATGGGTGCCGCCCTGATGGAGGCCCAACTGCTTGTCACATGGTGGGTGAAGGAAGGGGGAGGGGAGTGACACTTGAGCTGAGAGTCTCGTGGCCAAGACAGTGTTTGCAAAGGCCTGGAGGAGTGCTGGGGGCATATTTTGCTTCTCTGACACCTTTTGCTTCCCCTCTCCTTCTGTTTAATCCTGCCCGTCCTCCAGGGCGCTCTCTGAAATTCTTAGGGGCATCATCTCACTTTCATGAACTTGCTACTTCCCCACTTCCATGCAGCCACTATGAGCTTCCTTTAGGCAGAGGTCAAGTCAGCATGCTTTTGTGTCTCCCAGATTCTGAACACCTGGGTGATGCCTGAAGACGGGCCAGCCGTGGCTCTGAGTGTGCCTGCTCGCGGGGCAAGCTGTGGACTGTGACCTGAAGGCAGGCCTCACTGAGATCCTGTGCTACTAATCCAGCGCTGCACAGCTCTGGCCAGCATGGCATGGGCAGGGTTC